CTAGAATAGAACAGAACAGAACAGAGAATGGAATGGGAATAGAATAAAAAAATAGAATAGAACAGAATAGAGAATGGAATGGGAATAAAATAAGAGAATGGAATGGAATAGAATAGAATGACTTTATTGTCACTTTAAATGTACATTAATCAGCATACATTAAAATGAATTATCATTGCATTCAGCTCTCAAAAGATAACCATTATGCACATACACACATAAATATGACACAGAGAAACATCATAGTCTAGTTTGGATGTATACATATATATATAATGGGAAAAAAAATAATCCTGTGCATTTACAAGACGGAATAAGGAATAAAGTGGTTACAGAGTCTAGTCATCCTGCTATAGATACTTCGAAACCTTAAAGACCACCGCAGGAAAAAAAATATTGGAAAGCTATTTTTGATGACATGAGTCCTTCGGCTTATGACTGCAATGACTTATAATTCCGGGCTCAGTTACATTCGTAACTTGAGGACTGCCTGTAGTATTGTGCAAACTTGTGCATTTTGGAGGGAATGCAAATGAAGTTGGAAGGCTTTTTACCTGTTGCCTGTTCAGATTTTCTTTTTTAAAGGTTTTATTTTTTGCAAGATTACTGAGTGGTCAAGAAGTCAAGCAGCCTGGTTGAACCAGCTTGTGTTTCCATCTTTCCTTTCTTTCTTTTTTTTCAGGAACTTCTAATTGGTTGTGTCATGATGGCTGCATCTGTGCCAGATCCTGTCTATGTTTTACGAGGAGCGAACAGTGGCATTAATACATTGTGTTTTCAGTGTTCGAACCCAGATCCGGATTTTCCCATTCTTTACTCAGGGTGAGTAAAGAAAGAGCATGCAATTGACTAGCACTGATGACATTGCCTAGTTAGGGTAATGAAATACCTGTGAGCACCAAGGACCCCTCATACAACTGGCTGCAAATACAAATACAAAAGAAGGGGGCGCTATGGTTCAATGGTTAAAGACCACTGGGATTGTTGGCTGGAGAGCTGGCAGGGTTCGAGACCCAAGCTCTATGCAACGGGGTGAGTTCCCCTTCCCTGCTCCAGCTCCTGTTCACCTAGCAGTTCGAAAGCATGCCGATGCAACTAGATAAATAGGTACCACTGTGATGGGAAGATTACAGCCCTTCGTACGCCTTTGGCCAATAGCTGTGATGACCCAAAGGGGCGTGGCAAAAAGGCAACACAGTCAAATAAGCAAGAAGAGTCCCTTTAATTATCTCCAACTTTGCCCCCAATGTCCAGGTTACCTTCCGCTGGAGAAAAAACTCTCCCAAGAACAGTCTTTAAGTGGAAAAAATTCAGTCCGAAAAGTACATATAAACTAGCTAAAAATCCACACAAACCAAGCTGAAGTAATTAACTTGACAGGGCAGGAGAAGGAATTGCAGATTTGAAAGCACAGCCAAGCACACACAGTTGGGAAGACGCCAGGAACCCAGATAAGCCTCGATGATATCAGATAATTCACGATTTGCTCCCAACAACTTGCTGTGTGCAGTTTCCCTTTTTAAACACTGTGTTCCCAGCTGCAGCTAATGAAGGGGATCAGGGCCCTTTCCTCCCCCGTAAGCCACGCAACTCATGTTGCTCCCTTCTCCATTCCTCCCCGCGTGTCCTAGGATGAAGTGGGGGGTGGGCCTAGGTCTTCCTCCGAATTCCCTCTGCCTTGCTCTACCTCTCCCCTGCTCTGCCCAGCTGCCCTTTGCCCTTCCCCAGTTTCTTCCACAGCCAGCGGAGCCACACTCCCACTCCCTGTCAGCTGCTCGGCCTCCCCCTCCAAGTCAGATTCCGACAGGGGCATGACAATAGCCATTTGGCCACATGACCACGAAAATTGTCTTCGGACAATGCTGACTCCCTCTGCCAAGAAACGGAGCTGAGCACTGTGCCATAGAGTCAGACATGACTGTACGGGGAAAAGCTCTACTTTTACAAATACAACAGTGTGATATTTATTCTTCCGTGTTATTGTGTTTTATAAGTTATCCCATCTAAGTGATTTAAAATCTATAACACACACACAAGGAAACGGCAAAGGAACTAGAGGGGATGTTTCATTTAAATAAGAGATGTAATTATCTCCTCTTTTTAGCTTCTCTTTTCTTTACAATTGGGTGCAAGATCTAACAATTATTAAGGCAAAATTTCCTGACAGTGGGAACAATCAACCCATGGAACAGAATTTGCCTTTGGAAGTGGTGGGAGCTTCATCCCTGGAGGCTTTCAAGAAGAGACTGGACTGCCATCTGTCAGAAATGGTGTAGGGTCCCCTGCTTGGGTGGGGGGTTGGACTAGATAACCTACAAGGTCCCTTCCAACTCTGTGAATCTGAATCTTTTGCATTAAAGGCCGAGTCAGAATGTCAAAATCGTGGTTTATTCTTTTTCTCTTAATTTTTTTTTGGTTTTGTTTTAAAACAGATCTTCTAACGGGCTGATCCATATCTGGAATCTGAAGACGCGGCGAGTCTGTGGTAGCCTGAATGGCCATGGTGGAAATTCAGTGTACTGTGTGAAAACAATATCCAATAGAAAAAATGGACTCCTTAGGTGAGCCTCCATTTTAGCAAGGCGTAACTCCAGTTTGGTAACATAGATGACAAGTAATCCTCAACTTATGAACCCCAAAATTTCTGTGGCTAAGTGAGACAGTTGTTGAGTTGAGTTTTGCCCCATTTTATGACCGTTCTGGCAACGGTCTTTTAGTGAATCTCTGCAGTTGTTAGGGTGGAAACACATTGGGCTGCCCCATTGACTTCCTTTATGAGAAGATTGCAAAAGGGATCACATGACCCCAAGACACTGCGACCGTCGTAAATATGAAACAGTTGTCAAGCATCTGAATATAGACCACTTGACCACGGAAAGGCTGCAACGGTTATAAGTGTGAAAAATGGTCGTAAGTCACTTTTTTCAGTGCCGTTGTGAACAGTCACTTAATGAACTGTTGTACCTGTAGTCTGGGGTCACCTGTTGAGTTGGACATTTAAGGTAGAGTTGTGTTCAAGGAAGGGTTGACTAGGAACATGGAGTTTCATTAAGGAAACTGCCACGAACCTGAATGTTGTAGCCCACCAGCAGAGCTGGCAGCAGACTCAGACAGTGAGGAGGTTGGGGAGGGACATGGGCCAGTCCTGGAGTCTGGGGAAGACTCGGACGAGGGCTCTGTGTCGGAGGCAGAAATGGGGCCAGGGCCATCTGACAGTTATCAGCTGCTTTCGGAGTCAGACATCAAGTGAGGCAGAAGAACAGCTGGAGCCTGTTCCCGATGTGCGCATGCATAGAACTGCCAGAAGAAGGGAACAGTTAAGGAACAAGGGTCGACTCGGGAGTAAAGGGACAGGTGGATGGTGAATGGCCCCTCCCATAGGGAATAAATAGTAGTGAAAGGGGATGGTGTTTGCAGGAGACAATTAGTTCGTTTAATTAGTGTGAAGATTAGTTCGTGACTCTCAGAGACTCCTTGCCAAGTATTTCCTGTACAGCGTCGCGCTTGGAAGCTATCGGCCTGGCAACTCTCCAAGCCTGATAAGTTCTGTGCTTGTAATTCACCCTTGAAAGTCTGTTTGCCGGGACTTTGCTAGATGTAAATCACAGGAATTCACATTATAGCCTAATAAAAAAGGGGGTTTTGTAGGAAGTCTTGGGAAGCCTAGGATCAGAACACCGAATGACCCCGGAGACATCAGCTAAATAACTACAGTAAATAAACTCATGGAGAAGGGAGTGAATATTCTCCCCAGTGGATTCTCCACGTGACCAGTAACCATTTTGATTGTCAAAAGTCAGGGCCGTGACCAGAACATCCACCTGTGGGACTTATCCGAAGGAAGGAACGTCATCACAGAAAGCCTTTCCACGGAGAACGTTGGGTTCTGCAAATGTTCCCTCTCTGAGGTAACAGACAAACGGTCCCTCCTGGCCACCCCGTGGAAAGGGTTAGAAGAGGTAAGTCATTCCTCTAAGGCGTACCTTCTCTGCCTTGCCTGGTGGTGGCCAGATGTTCCTCTGAGCTCGGCCTATGGCAAGGAGTCATGGGTATGGTGTGGAAGGAATCTTGGAAGGTGACTCTGGTGTCATAAATTGGACAGGGAGAAATATTGCTGGATCAATGAACTTAACGGAAGAGGGGGACGTCAGAAGGATTAAGGATAAATTTTCGGGCAGTGAGAATCAACCCATGGAACAGAAGCTTGCTTGTTTATTTATTTATTTACTTATTTACTTACTTATTTATTTAGTCAAAAGCATACAAATACAATAGAAATAAGGATAAACATAAGTTTAAATGTAAGAAATAGATACAAATAATTGGGGACAACAGGACAGGGACGGTAGGCACGATTGTGCGCTTATGCACACCCCTTACAGACCTCTTAGGAATGGATATTCTCTCCCTTTCTCTCCTCCCTCCATTCTTTTCTATCCTTCCTTCCTTCCTTCTTTCCTTCCTTCTTTTATTTTTTATTTTATTTATTTATTTGATTTGCCAATCGCTTACAAGTTAATAAGTATAAGTATAAACATGAGTAAGAATACAGGAAGTGGCCTTACTAAGGATTTATCAAGTGGTACTAATATTTCACGCGATTTTGATTCTGTGCCTCTGTTTATACAACCAAGGATTGTATTCGCTTTTTTGGCTGCCGCCGTACGTGGCTGGTTTATGACTCAGTGATGAACTGATAAAAAATTTGGAACACAAGAGAAACTCCATAAAACCTGGAAACCTCCTTAAACCCCAAGCCAAAGCACTTTGAGGCTTATGATTAACACGAAGACTTAATATGTATTTACACTTGGCCATTATCCAAAATAGATTTTTTTTCTCATCTTGGAGCAGGCTCTGTCTATGAATAATAAGATCTAAACAGGCATTTATTTGTTCCTGATTGCCCTAAAACAGTCAGAAACACGCATTTCTCTTGCCAATTTGCCAGAAACCTGTTTAAAACGCCTTAGAAATGTGCAAAAAAAAGAACACATTTTCTTGGGGTGACCTGTAGCCACAGAAGAACCTTATTAACCCCAGGCAAAAGTTTAAAAAAAAACGAATTTTTTTTTTCCTGGGGAAACCTTCTTCTGGTTTTAAATTACATGCTAAGAAGGATATTATTTTTCCAACGCCCGACAGCAACATGGGTGAAGGTTCTGTCAATCTAGTCAAAGATGCTCATGCCACAACTTGTCCAATCTTGGAACAAGCAATCCCGGTGTGTCAGACTGGGACTGGGACCATGTTTGAAGCCAATCCCAGTGAAGACTTTAGACCTTAGACTGTCTACTATTGACCTCACCCCTTTCCTAAGAGGTCTGCAGGGGTGTGTGCATAAGTGGACCAATCGTGCCTACCGTCCCTGTTCTATTGTTTCTTTTTTTATCCGTATCCATTTCATATATTCATAACCATGCTTATACTTATGCCTGTTATCTAATACTTGCTTGACAAATAAATAAATAAGATAAATAAATAAAGAGAAGTCCCAACAGAAGACAAGGACTATGTTTGAGGCCAATCTCAGCCAGCAGAAGTCCAGGAGAAGACAAGGACC